TTCACCAAAATTCTTTAATTTTCGATGACTCATAATTGCGTTATTAGCAATTTTAACGGTTTCGAACAAGGTACGCGACTTCTAAGATGTCCTATAGATACAAAGTAACTCATTTTAATGATTGTTGTAAAATATTTTCTAGATTAAGCGGAAATACAGCATGCTTCATATTTTATTTGCTTCGATAGGGATATTATATAGAGAAAAAAAATTAAGTGTCACGCGCGATTATTTAATGCGAAATATTTCACTGTGTTAATTACAATTTCTTTTATGTATAGGTAACTGTATATATATTTATATATATATGTATATATTTATATTTGTAATTGTATTTATATTCTTATATTTGCATTTTTCTTTGTATTTATATATTTATGTTCATATGTATATTTGTATGTATATTTATATATTTATATGTTCATATTTATAGTTGCATTTATGTTCATATTTCATATATTTATATGTTCATATTTATATTCATATTTATATATATATATAATATATATATATATAATTTGCTATGTGTCGTGTCCAATGATATCTGGACCTAATTTTCGTTCGAGATGCAGAGATATATTTTTCGTGTATCTCCTTCGCACACAAATCGTGAAAACTGAATGATTAAAAATCGATGCATCGAAGACTATCCCGACTTTTTTGTGCGCATCTAATGCGAAAATAATACGTAAATTATAAATAATGTAATCAAATGGCGCGGGTGGCGATGGATGGGAAACGACAGAGTATTCGAAAAAGTACAGATAGAAAGCGCAATGATAAATAAACTAAAAAAAAAAGAATCGATTCACACTCGTTCGACAACTGTGAATAATCGTGTATTTTATTTATTTAACGTTTAATTAGACTTTCGCAAGTTCCAAAGTCCACAGTTTTTCCCACACACATTATCTCTATTTTTATTTTAATGTTCATATGATTATACTATGTAAGTGCCCCTCTCTCTCAATCTCTCTCTTTCATTCGTTCATTTATTCACCCTTTCTCTCACCCTTTCTCTCTCTCTCTCTCTCTCTCTCTCTCTCTCTCTCTCTCTACTCTC